TTTAATAATTGTTTCCAGCTCCAGACGATGAAGACATAGATCTTCGAAAGCTTGAGAGTTTAAGGTATAAGAGTGTACTTTTGCAATACTAAATTAAAGGATATCTTCTCCTAACAGTTAAGGCAATTAACTATGAATATATATATATATATATATATTATAATTATATAAATTGCACCGAGGAACTCATCGAACGCATGACAAAAGGAACAACTGTTTGAAGCATCTATGCTTCTCAGAGCTTGTACTGATAAGAGAAATGCAGTAAATGTGATTCAAACGTTTCTTTATAAACAAATAAATTGTATGGAAATTGAAATGCAATGCTAATACCTAGGACGATCTTCACAACTAAACATATATTAGGAGTTGATGACTTAGACCTTATTTGACAGAAGACTTACATGTGTTGCGCATGTTAGTGCTAATATGAGCAAAGCTTGCAAAAAATGAAGTCAGATCAGATTTTAATAATATCAGATTAATGATTCTGCTTTATAATTTATTAGTTCGATTCAAAGTTTAATACTGTTCTACGATATTATCCTGTAGATATGATAATGCAATGAAACAAATGAAGGCAGTGCTTTCAACATTTTAGCGTATACTTGCATGATAGGAAATATGTTTAAAATTTCTTATCAAAATTCGAATAAATAATTCTGAGCGTTTTGCATCTTATATGTCACTTAGGGCCAATTTCACCAACGTTAATATTTGACGATCAGTTGGACCAATAGAAAAAGACCTTATCAAAATGCAATTTGACTGATGTATGAATATCAAAAATCCTGAATGGGTTTGTGGGAATATCAATCTAATATGCCATAATGGTTCTGATGAACGGCAAGTAAATGAATGAATGTTTGGAAACGAGCAATATCTATGAAATTTTTGGTAGAGTCTGTCATCAAGTAGGTGTTTAATGACCATCTGCAAGAGGTTTATAGGAAAAAACGCACGGTAGGTGATGTTGAATCCGTAAAATCGCGTATCAGTTGAAGAAAATAATATAAACATGAATAAACAATCGACAATATTAAATAAAAACATGAATTTTATTCAAAAATCAAACACTTTTTTAAATTTTTACTAAACTATATGTAATTTCTTAATATTCAATAAGCTGGTGATGTTTCAATGACAAGCTGTCATCTCATACTTTGACAGTATTTTGTTTTCAGCATTTCATAGCTATTGGTTGCTAAAATTTGTTGATGGAACTTGAAGCTCATTCGCTGTATTTGACGGACTGTGACAATCGTTGAAATCCACCCTTAGTATATTTAGAGGCGGTTTGTGAAATATTTAGGGTTCAGGCAAGATGGTACGTATCCGGAAATTGACTTCAGGTACGGTATGACGTGTTAGCAGCTATATGCTCTGTAACTTGGAGAAGCTGCTTTACATTTACATTCTTATACATGTACCTGTTAGCCCAATAATACTTCAAAGTACCTCTAACAACCCTACAGGACGGCAGATCGATCCATAATACTGTTTCTCCGGACAGATTGGTCAAAGTTTGAAAGAAATTAAAGGTGCAAAATTTTTGTATCAACCTGGTTGGAAATGGAAAAATCAGTTTTCTTGTTTTGTTTTCACTATTTGGATATTTGTAACATCTTTAATTTTAAAAATAGTAATTGGAAAAAATTTATTCTTTTATTCATGGAATAATAATAATAATAATAATAATATTTATTCACTCAATGTACAAAGATAACAAAAAATATGAGTAAATAAATATAAAATCAAAACAGGCCCAATAGAAGGCATCGCCTGTACATGGACCAATAAATTTAAGTTGAAACTGTAGAGTGCAAATGACAAAAAAGGACAAAAATTAGCTACAGTAGATTAGGTATTTAGTTGATGTTCGTATTTATGAGTTTATGAATTTCAGTCCTAGATATAGAATGTAGCCACTTTTTTAAATTTCTTTTGAAACAATTTCCGAAACGTAAATCTTTTAAGTCTTTAGGTATAATTTCATAAATTTTAGGCGCTAAATAGAGATATGATCGCTGCATTATAGATTTATGCGGTTGAGGAACTACTGTGCCACGAATTTTGTACCTGGTATAATGATTATGTTTAATTTTTTGGTCGGTGTTTACAAATTTATGGTAGTGAGTGATACTGTGTAAGAAATAAAGCTGTCTTATATCATACATTCGAACATCTGCGTATAATTTTTCAGTGGGATAAAGTTTCGGTTTTTTAAATATCATTTTTAGAATACCTTTTTGAAAAACATCTAAATTATAGATATGTGAGGAACATGCAGCAATCAGTGCATGGTATAATGTTCGAAGATATTTTTCTGTCAATATATTCCCAAGGTATTTAATTTTGTAGGATACAAATCTAACTTTCTTTAAAATATAATTGACATGGATGTCCCATCGTAAGTGAGGATCCAAGACCACTCCAAGGTATTTTATGTTGGGCACTCTATTAATTTGCATTTTTTGATCATTAATATTGAAGGAGAAATTTGTGTAATTTGGCAGATGTCTAGCATAAGATCCAAATGGTAAAAAATGTGTTTTAGAGTAGTTAATGCTTAATTTTCTACTGTTAAACCACCGAATAATTTTGATAAAATCATTTTCAATTACATTTTTCAGATCAGACCAGTCAGTGCCTTCATATAATATTGCAGTATCATCTGCAAAACTAGTTATTTTGCCAACACAATTAATTTGGAAAATATCATTTAAATATATATTGAATAACAGCGGACCTAAGACAGTTCCTTGTGGAACACCATACTTAATATACATTGCTTTACTAAATGATCCTGATATCTGCACAGATTGTGGGCGATTTCACAAATAACTTTCGATCAGTGAGTACGCGTTTCCTCTGAAACCAATTCTCTCCAATGCTTCTAATAATAATTTGTGATTAACTGTGTCGAAAGCTTTCTTTAAATCAACAAAAATGCAGATTGAAGGGATTCTGTTATCAATATTTTGATGTATTTGATTTACAATTTTAGTTATTGCGTCCGATGTAGCCTTCCCTTCTGTAAATCCATATTGATTTTCACTTAAAATTTTGAATTTTGTGAGGTATCGAATCATTCTAGCAGATAAAACTTTTTCAAAAACCTTTGCTACACTGGATACTATTGATATTGGTCTATAGTTGTTAACATCTGTTTTTGTTCCTGATTTATGTATCGGTATTATATTACCTTTTTTTAAAATTGAGGGATATATGCCAGATTCAAAGCATTTGTTGATTAGGTAAGTGAGTGGTTCTGTTATGTCCTCGGCTATAATTTTCAAATGCTCGCTTTTAATACCATCGAACCCAGGACTTTCCGATTTTTTAAGAACATAACAGTGGTGTATACTTCACATTGCTCGACTTTATCCAAAATAAATGAGTTCAAAGTTCTTTTTGGAGGCTGAGTATTTTGTACATTTGCTTGAATATTACTTGCTAAATTTTCGCCTATGTCAGTAAAGAATTGTACAAATTCATCGCATATCTGTTGAGTATTTTTTAATACTGTTCCCGATGTTGTATTTAACTCAGTGACACACTCTTTAACTTTTGTTTTCCCAGTAATCTCATCAATAGTTGTCCAAAGCCGCTTAGGATCATTTAAGTTGTTATTCAATTTATTTAGGTAATGTTTTCGTTTGGTTTGCCTTACAAGCTCTATAAATTTATTTTTATATTGGTTGTAGCAGTCGGTATTCTCTGTAGTTGGCGTTAGTTTCATTACATTATATAGTCTTTCTTTTTCTATTGCCGATGTTATTAATCCTTTGGTAATCCAGGCATTTCTGCTTTTCTCTTTGTGACTAATTATTACTTTATTGGTACTAATATCTAGTTTTTTTATTTTCTCTATGTACAGTCCCGTTGCTTTGTCTATATTATTTATAGAGTATAATTGTTCCCAGGATTCTTGTTTGACATTTGATATTAGTTTTGAATTGTCGACAAAAAATTTGTAATTTTCCTGGTTGTTACTAACGGTAGGGATGTTAGAATGTTTTTCATTTGAAGATATCAGTAAAATACTAAAAAGGGGCGAATCTAGAAAATATATAAAAAACCTTAAAACGTAATCAGTTCCAAAAATGGGGTAGATTTTCCAAAACAAAGCAAAAAGTGACTTTTTAGACTTTTTTAAAATTAATACTAAGGAAATAAAAAAATCTGCTATGACGCAATCAAATCTTATAGGAGTTTTATTCCGGTGTTCAGTAATACCCTTATATTCTCTGTGCGATCACTGGTTACCGAGATACGAGGGATGTCTTTTAAGTTTTGCATATAGAAACATAGTAGGCCGCGCGGATCGAACGTCAGTACTGAATCTTAACCTCACTATTTAGTTCGAGCGCATGCAGATGTGTATTAATCGTCGTGCAGAATACTTCAAAAAACAATAAAGTCATTTAAAACTACCAACCGTGTTGTTTTATTTCCATAATATGCAAAACTTAAAAGACATCCCTCGTATGAGCTGTCGATGACAAAAGGATCTTTTTTCATTCAAAGTCAGATATCTCCGCGCCAAATGATGCTATCGATATTTTAAAAACAGGGTATTGACGATGAATATACTGGCTATCTAATCCATATGATGGCCTAATAGAAAAAAATATTTACAAGCCCGTGGATTAAAAAGAATACAAAAATTTCGCAAAAAAATTTCCTTGCGCTACTCGTTGGAATTGTAGGAGAATCGTGGCTTTTAAAATTTTTCAGCTAAAAAACCTGAAAACTATAATCTTGGCGCTTTGCAATGCCTTTTTCAAAGTCTAGTTACGACCATTTTTCACCGAAATACGGCCTGTCAGAAATCACCGAAAAATTAGTTTTTGTTCTTGCTCCCTTAATTTTTTTGAGTAGTGTATTAAGAAATTTAAACGGCAGTACTGAAAGTGCAGGTAAGCCGCATCAATCAGTGCATTTTACGAAAAAAACGATTATTCATTACAGAAGTTATTACCATATTTTCTAATTACCTTATTGTAGGCGTTATCCACAAGTTACTCAAATCCAAATAACTCGAGCGTCACCCCACAAATTCGAAAATCACTAACCTCCAGCCGTTGCGTAAGTATATTTCCCGATTTCGCTTTCAATTGCCCGCTGCGTTGTCCGGTTTTCGCGCCAAGATGTCGACCGTGTATGTCCATACGGGGTCCTCTTTCCGTTTTATAGCATACACGTATATCTGTGTACGTAGCCCGCGGGTCTCGTGTGCTGTTTCGTTAAATGATTTGTTAAATTAGCCCTGTTTGTACCTGTGCTGCCGCAGACACTGTTCCCCACTTCATTCATGGTCAATGCGGAGGCTTGATCGACAGTCGGTGAACGATTGCAATGCCCAACAAATATCCGTTGCATCAAATTTACTCAGAATGCAATGTTACGTTTGATGCATCTTTGTCATCCGCAATCTAAAAAATAATGTCTCCGAAAGTGTTTCACTCACATGGGTATTTCTCAACAAATTCAGAAATTTCATTTTGCATTTCTTGAAAAAAAAATAATGAAAGCATATCCTTTTTTTTGCAGCAATATAAAGTTTTACTTTAGTGGTGTTCATTGAAAATGAAGATCCGCCATATTTTTGTGCATAACATGTGGAAAAATGACTTGAAAAACTATGGGGGAATGACTGATAGGATGGGGAAATGATTTTTACAACGATTCGATGCTGGATTTCAACAAAAAGCATACGTTGATTTATTAATAGATGAATTGAGATTTGTTTTATACTTTAGAGAGCTTAGATAGTCCTTCTTCCCTAGGCACATCCTCGCATTTTCATCCTTCTCTAAGAAATCAACTTCACCCTGAACTTTCAGCATTTTGTTGCTAACTACAGTTCTTTTTGTACGTATCGTTTTTGACAAAATGTTCGATCCACATAGCAATTTGTAATTTTAGACTAATTGCAGCTTCAACATTTTGTAATATTTTTCTTTTCTCCACGTTTACCATCATGAAGCAGCACCAACTGAAACATAAGTTACGCCAAACTGAGCATGACTATGATACCCGCCATAAAGTGAGAGCATGCTTACCAAAGCCTCATGTCAGTATCATGCAGAGATCATTCCAATACCTAGACAGAAGCTTTATAGTATACTAAGTGACATATAAATCCGAACACCCAGTTTAAATGGTTTTATTTTAATAAAATTTTGTATAAGTACTTAATGAAGCATAATAAGTAAATGATAAAAATTTTCTAAATGATTGCACTGCTTTAAAGCCCTTTGACCTTTAATAATGTGTGGATGCACCCTGATGTGCTACGCATTCTCCAACGCGCCTAGGCATGCTTCTGATCAGGTGGTCAATGTCCTCCTGTGGTATCTCATTCCAGGCAACCACCAACTCCTCTCGAAGTGCTTCTAGAGTCTGAGGAGGACGTTGCAAATTGAGCAATCTCCTGCCCATCATATCCCACACGTGCTCAATTGGGGATAAGTCGGGAGATCTTGGTGGCCATGGTAACAATGTGACATCATTATGTTGAAAGAAGTCTATTGTGACTCTTGCAACATGTGGTCGGGCATTATCTTGTTGGAAAGTTGGATCTGCCAGGGTGTCAAGATAGGGTAAAAGATGGAGTTCTAGAACTTCGTGGATATAACGCTGCGCGTTCATGTTACCTCTGATGAAGATTAAAGGTGACCTGGAACCATAAGCTATAGCACCCCAAACCATAACTCCAACAGTGTGATGAACATGTCTTTCAACAAAAAACTGTGGATGCCTCCTTTCACCACGTCGCCTTCTAACCCTGGCACGACCATCGTGCATGCCTAAACAAAATCGAGACTCGTCACTAAAGACAATACTGTTCCATTGGTGATCCCAGAGTGACCGTTGTCTGCACCACTCAAGGCGATTACGTCGGTGTTCTCGAGTTAAAGGGAGGTCCCAGTGTGGCCGGTATGAAAACAAGCCAAAACTTCTCATTCGTCGGTAAACACTTCGCATGCCAATAGGTCTTCCGTGTTCTGCAAACCATTCATTTGCAATGGACCTGGTAGTGGAGAAGCGGTCCCTTAAGGCCAATAATCTTAGGCGGCGATCTTCACGGTCTGTTGTTTTACGGCGGCGTCCAGTGCCCCTTGCTCTTTGCGTACGGCCTTCTCGAAGCCATGCCTGACAACACCTAACCACAGTGTCTACACTTCTTTGCACTCTAACTGCAATTGCCCGAAAAGAAAGTCCAGCTTCCCGAAGTCCCACTATACGGCCCCTATCAAACTCACTAAGTTGACGAAATCGTACAGGTCTCCGTACTCTAGGCATCGTAACCGATCGTAAAGGATGTCAAGAACCAAAATCCGCCAACGTTGATTCTTTACTGCGGCTGAAATATTCATTTTTAGAGCATTAGTGAATTAAAAAAAAGCAGTATGAAAACCGGAATGTCCAACTGATAAGGCTGAAAATTTTTTCACTTGTTATTTACAGTAAGATAAATACATTCACCAACTTTTATTAAAATAAAACCATTTAAACTGAGTGTTCGGATTTATATGTCACTTAGTATATTTACCAATTATTAAATTAGTTTCTTCGTTGCCATGGCAAATTATTCAACAATTCATTTAAATTCGCAGTACATTTCCTATCATGTGACAAATTTTTTAGTTCGATTTTATTCAAAAATGGCACAGTTTATCGATATTCAATAAGAGTACCTTTTTTATGTAGAAAACCTTAAATTTTCAAATACTAAAATTGAATTTCAAAAATAGAATCACACAAAAATTTTGGGGCTAAAATAACCTGAGTCCGTCCCTGTTATATACGCTTCCAAACAAAACTGTCTAAAATTGTTAAAATTTTTAAATCCAGCATAAAAAACTAGGCTAGAATACCAAATTTTATGTCTTTATCTCAACACGTTTCGGAAATATTAAGGAAAAACCATCTTCATGGGAGCCCCTTTAAAAGATCGTAGCGCCCTTAGGGGACGTTTTAGACCTATGTTTATATAAACTTTTCTTCCTATTTTAAGCTCTAGAAACCGCTGGTAGAATATTGCACATTGTTTTCGGGTATATATAAAAACGATTAAAACCTTTTTTTTAACTGTCAAGGAATTTTTTTAAAAGTTCTTAATATATACATAAGGTTAAGCATATCTAAGCATGCAGCAGCTAAAGCAAATGAAATAATGACAATTATACTGATATAGACTGAATATTGGACAGACATCTCACCACGCACAGGCTTTGCCTTCTGCGGGTATTTCATATTTATTTGCATGTTTTTTATTTCACCTGTAACATTCGTAATTTAATTGAAAGCAAATAAATATTATTATTATCATTATTATTACTTCCAAGTTGACAGTCCTTCTCCGAAAATGAGTCTTGTTCTTACAACTTCAAGAACCTGTATATACTTTTAAAGCTAAGACACTTTAGCTGGTGGACAGTTTGGGTCAGTATTTTCAGTTTTCAATCTCACACACCTATTCTTATATTTTTCGCTAAGCTTGAATGCGTTCCTTACTTTATTTTCCAAACTTTTAATCTTCGCGTACAGAATAGTTCGCCGCTTGCTCATTCTACGTCTATTGAGAGCAGACAAATTCTCCGTTCTGTGCTGTAAAGATGGTGCAGGACTTGGTGAGGGCGTTTCTTCAACTCTGTAAATTCATTTGTAATGTAACTCCCCATATTCTCCTGATATGGCACCGTGTGACTATTTTCTGTTCGGTAAACTACATTTGGCCATGAAGGACGTAGACGCCATCCTCAGTGAGCTAAAATCATCATTCGAAAATCTTTTCATCCTGTATCAACTCTGAATGAAACTATTTTGGATAAATTAAATTCGATTTCCCGAAACAAAAAATGTTTGTTCATTTTCTTCTTGATCCTGTTTACATTTTGACAAACTTTGTATAACCGTCATAACTTTTTTTGTTGTTGAATTTGGTCGATGGCAAAAATATTCCACATTAAATGTTTTTAGTGACATAAACGGGATTACCATGCTTTGAAAACCCATTGAATGCGTCGCGGATTAATTCCTTCAAAACATCTGCATGAGAACGTGATTTGCATATCATTCTTGACCACAACGATAAGATCATGTAAAAACCTACGTTGAATGTGCGAAGCATATCTGTTTGTTTATAATAAGTGTACTAAGAAACACTTTAGAGACATATTTAGGCTGATTCTCTAAAGATATTGGCATGAGGTTGGTCAAATGTTCGTACGGGCTGATACAATAGGTTAGGTGGATGGTATGAAAAGTCCAAAGGCTTGCATGCAGCGGTAGACTGTACACATAGTAACAGTTCCACCTTCTTCTCCAAAACATTGACCAGCGATCTGATACGTAGTAGCAAAACGGCTAGATGTCTGAAGCGCCTATCTTGGTGCGCCTCGGTGTATCGGTTGGCGTTCTTCGTGTTCCTCTACCTCCTTCTATCCACACACGACACACACGCATTACCGTCACTGCAGTGCCAATTTCGCGATAGGTGAATAATTCTACCCCTGTCAAAGTCGCTAACATGGTGATAGTTTGGACGTCTTCAAACTCGAGGCATTTTGTTATGCTTACGTAAATATGAAAGGGCAGTAACTGTACTACTCAACTCTCAGAAACTGCGTTCTTCACAAAAACTAAGAGATAACATTTTGACAAAGGTAAACAAAAACAAAGATAAAAGGTTGACATTGTTGCCAAAACAGAAGGTGAAGAAATTATTTTTTCTGGGTGTAAGACTTCTAATGTCATCATTTGAATAATAAACAATATCTGGTTGGAAAATTGTCAGAAAATGGAACTCTGATTATTTCCGAATGACCCAAGATTTCGGTATGGGAAGTACCGAGTCAATTTACATTTTTCTGTTGAACATTACATATCGAAAACGAAACAGATGCATTTCCTGACAGCTCAGTTTTTTTTTGGGAAAACGCTCAGAACAGTCGATTTTGTTTTCGAGGGGGACACAAGTTTAGCAAAAAATCACGTTAACACGTGCAGCCCCCTGGGCGGGGGTGGCACCAATCCTAAAATCTTAAATGGAAAGGGGGGTCGAGTGATACCTTATTTTAAAGGTCTTTCAATTCCCTTTATAATGATGTAAAATACATGAAGTTCAGTTCAGTAGTTTTGAAGATTTATTGATTTAAAGCTTGAAGTAGACTTTAATAGGTACATCAGATTAGTTTGTACTATTTTCAGAAGAAATTTGACTAAAAGAATTTACTTAATTAGTAATTATGTAAGTAATTTCTGGCGATCATTTAGTTGTTCCTTTTTTCTTACCTGCAAATTTGACCGGTGAAATGTATTTGGAATTACTGGAAGAC